TAGCTTTCCGCAGGGTTGCGCATGGCTCACAAGACGTGGTCCCCGACACGAAAGGCCTTGTATTTGACGTGCTGATTATAATACCCTTCCGCTACTCCTTTGTAAGCGGACTGGCGAATGTTTGAGCGCTCCCGACGTTCTTCCAGAAGATCTAAATTCTCCCTCAAGTCTTTGTCGTTTGCTTGTTCCTGGCAATACTATGTTCGTATCGACCCCATCATCATCTCTACTAGTTGCATCGCTTCGCCCCTGTAAGCCAGGCTGAATGGTGTTTCGTTTGTGCTGGTCCGTGGTGTGGTTCGATACCACCAGAGAACTCCTGGCAGATCGTCCACCTAATTTCCCTTTGCTTTTCCAAGTCTTTTTTTGATCCCGTGCACTAGTGTCTTGTTGGACACCTCCGTCTGCCCATTGGCGTGGGGGTGCGCTACCGATGTGAATCTTTGCTCTATCCCTTTCTCCGCGCACCAGTCTCTAAAGGGGTTCTCGGTGAATTGTAGTCCGTTGTCGCTGATTAGCACCTTAGGTATTCTGAACCTTGTTACGATGTTCTTCCACATGTATTTAATCATTTGTTTCCCAGCAATACATGTTAACGGTTCGTCTTCTATCCATTTCGTGAAGTAGTCGACTGCCACGACCAAGAATTTCACCTTTCCTGGGGCTTCCGGGAAAGGGCCAACGATGTCAATTCCCCATTGGTAAAAGGGCCATGGAGTAGTGATACTTGTTAGTATGGCCGGAGGTACGTCTTGTACTGGTGAGAAAGTTTGACACTCCACACATATTCAAGTCAATTTGGTGGCGTCTTGGTGTATATCCGGCCAGTAGAGCCCCATGCGTAGTATCTTGCTTGTAAGTTCTCTCGCCCCTTCGTGGGCTCCATCTAATCCCGCATGAGCTTCCCGGAGAACCTTCTTCCCAGACTCATTGTCGATGCATTTGGTCCATGGAGTTGTGTAACCTTTCCTATACAATGCTCCCCTCAAGATAGCGTATTGGGGAGCTCATATTCTTGTTTTGCGTGCCTCCGTGTGGTCATAAGGAAGTATGTCGTGCTGCAAATAATCTATAATGGGTGTCATCCAATTTAGACGCACCGCGGATAAAGAATCAACTTGGCGTTCGTCAATGCTCCTTTCTTTTAGTACTTATACTAGGACCTCTTTAGAAAGGTGGCCAAAACATGTTGACGCGAGTTTACTTAGAGCGTCCGCTCGCCTATTGATTCCTCTTGGAATCTGCCGTTTGGTGAAACTCTTGAGCGAGCTTGTGATCCGTTGGACTACTTTAACGTACCTTTCCATTCGTTTGTCCTTTGCTTCAAATTCTCTAGTGACCTGGTTGGCTGCTAGGTGTGACTCAGTTAGAGCCACTATCTTCTCTGCTCCTATTTTTATTACTAATCTTAGGCCGGCCAATAGGGCTTCGTATTCGGCCTCGTTGTGGAGGTGTAGAAGTCAAAGCGCAAAGCATAAGTGATTTCCTCGCCCGTGGGGTTGGTTAGGATTAAGCCCGCTCCTGAGCCTTCTTTGCTGGAAGCTTCATTCGTGTAGAGGGTCCATTGTTGGTCGTCCTTCTCTTTTGGGTGCTTTCGTTGGGTGATATCTATCATTTCTCGCTGGAGCTCCTCCGGAATCTCCAGTAGAAAGTCCGCCAGTGCTTGTCCTTTGATACTCACCCTAGGGTGATAGTTGATGTCATGTTCTCCTTGTTCTATAGCCCATTTTGTGAGGTGCTCGGACGTCTCCGGCTTTAAGAGAACATGCTTAATCGGGCATCTTGTCAATACATCTATCTGATGGGCCTGGAAGTATCGACGGAGCCGTCGTGCCATGTAAATTAATGCGAGCACCAACTTTTTGATGAAGGGATAGCTAATCGTTGGCCCTTGCAGGGCCCAAGTCACAAAGTAGACTAGAAGCTGTCTTCATTGCCTTTCGACTACTAGCACTGATGAAATAGCATCCCTTGATGTGGATAGGTACATCTGCAACGTCTCGCCTGGTACCGGGCTGGCTAGCGTAGGTATCGTATGCAGTGCTTTCTTTATCCTTTGTAGTGCGGCTTCGGCCTCTGGTGTCCAATGAAAATTGTTCTTTTCAATGCATCCCTTGAGTGTGTGGAATAGAGGCATGGCTTTCTCGACTGACTTAGAGATAAAACGATTAAGCACCGTCAGTTTAGCGTTCAGTCCTTGAGCATCCCTTAGTATGCTTGGCGAAGGTACATCCTTAAGTTCATTGATTTTGACCGGTCTTGGCTGAATTCCTTCCTTTGTAACATAGTATCCGAGGAATTGCCCTTATTCTACTCCGAAGGTACATTTGGCAGGATTTAGTTTCATTTTTGCTTTCTCTAGGGTTTATAGTGTTTCCTCCATATCGTGTAACAGTCTTTGCTCGTTCGGGCTTTTGATAACCATATCGTCGACATAGACCTCGATAATCCTGCCAATTTGATTGGCAAATAGAGAATCGACCAACCGCTGGTAAGTTGCTCCAACGTTCTTCAATCCGAACGACATTTTTTTATAGCAGAAGGCACCATGATCTGTGTAGAAATATGTCTTTTCCGCCATCGTCCTTACTCATCAGGATCTGGTGATATCCTTTGTACGCGTCCAAGAAGCATTTCCATTGGAACCCTTGTAGAGACTCTACCTTTTGGTCTATTTCTGGTAGTGGGTAGCAGTCTTTGGGGCACGCCTTGTTGAGGCCTGAGTAATCAATACACATGCGCCAGCTTCCATCGCGTTTCTTCACCATTACCGGATTGGCGATCAATGTTGGGAATATTGCTTCCCTAAGGATCCCAGTGTTGGTTAATTTGGCCACCTCTACGTTAATTTCCTTGTTTCGATCCCCTCCCTGGACGTGCTTCTTCTGTTTTACCTCCTTGGCCCCTTGTTTGATCATCAGCTTATGTTCTATGATCCCCCAGTCGACCCCCACCATGTCTGTGGGTGTCTAGGCGAACATGTGTTTGTATTTTTGTAGCAGTCGGATCAGTGCTTGCCTTATTGCCGTGGGGAGGGTGGTTCCTACATTTACTTATTGGCTCGGGTACTCCTTGTTGATCACTTCCCCTCCATGTGATGAATCTGACTTCGGCCTCTTGGGATCCGTTGAAATGTCTTTTGGTTGCATAATCTCATAGCATTTGAGCGCTCGCGAGGGGTGTGGCTAGGATTGTCCCTGGTCCTTAGCTCGTGCTAAACTTTACTATTCCTAGAATCATTGATGAAATTGCTCTGAATTTCAGTAGGGCGGTACGCCCCAGTATGACGTTGTGTTCAGATGGGTGTCGTATGCCTACAAAATCTACAAGGGCGGTTGTGAACAGTTAGTGGATCGTACCTAGGGGCCATAAACTGTGTCCTATGAGTCCTATGAGTTGGCATGTGGCTGGTCTTAATCCCTCATTCCGTGCGTCAGGAAGCAACCATAAAAAATGCTCGTAGATGATGTTTGCAGAGCTCCCCGTGTCAATATATACCCGGTGGACCATGGTGTCTCGAATGGATCTTTGGATAATAAGAGGGTTATCTCCTTTCCATCGAGTTGGGCTTGGGTCAGCTGTTGAAAAAGTTAGTCCTTGCATGGTTTCCGTGATGCTTCGCACATTGGTTGTGTATTTCGCTCTTGCCCGCCTATGGCGTATCATTAGGATATCCTGTTGGTAGTTTGTTCCTCTTGCATTGTCTTTTGCGTTTTCCGCGTCAAATTTGGCTTGTAGACTCTTGGCGATCTCTATCACGTTCCCCTTCAGCTGATTCTCTTCCATCCCTCGTTTTAAAACCGAGTAGTTGATCGTGTCATGTGTCCTACTCTTATGGTATTCACAATATCGCATCTTAGTGTCCTTTTCTGTTTGTTTTTCGGCGATGGTGTAAACTTCTGCTCGTCTTCCTCGCCTATCATCCCTTGTGAAAGGTCTGAATCGTCCATGTGGTCGCCTGTCCCGTCCCGAAAATCTACCCCCTCCCCAGGGATCGTGGTAGGAGGTTGATTGGTGCTGTTGTTTCACGCCCGGGGAGGACATGGCGTGGAGTTATGCTTGCTTTGACGCTTCGCCTTCTTCTTGGCATAGGAAACGCTCCACCCACTCTTTTAACTCTACTCTTGTCTGTGGTTGTTTGCCCATGAGCTTCTGGGAGAGCGAACCGGGAAGTAATACCCACGTGAGTGCACCTGCAATCAACCCTTCATCGTGTCTCGGTACGTCTAATGTTGCTTTGGTGAACCTAGGGAAATAGTCCTTGACTGTATCCCCCTCTCTTTTCTTACACCGATAATGGAGTGACAATCGCCTTTGTACTTATGGGGCTGCATGAAGTTAGTTAGAAAAAAGTTACTTCAGCTGGCTAAAGTTGTAGATGCTACCAGGGCATAATGTTTTGAACCATGTCCCTACGTTGCCGTCTAGGGTGGTAGGGAAGTACGTGCACTAGAAGTGTTCATCCAGCTTGAGAGATGTCATCGTCCATTCGTATGTATCAATGTGGCTATCAGGGTCTGTAGTGTCGTCATATGTTTTGAGATGGGGTAGTTTGGCAGTGTTGGGTATCTCGTATTCCAACAACTCTTTCACAAATGGTGAAGTGACACTGCGCAAGAGGCAGTGTTGGTTCGGTGTCTGTTGAGCAAAGTGGTATCCCGGCTGTTGCATTGCTAGGAACGGTTGTACCAGCATGTTGTTGTAAGCTGTGAGGTTTGGTGGTGGTGGGCCGTAGAAGTTTTGTAGTTGGAACGGGGAAAACGTGTGAGTGGTGGGGGGTTGCTGGTATGGTGTGAATGGCGGTGTCGGCATGGTTCCTCTCACAAATGGTGGGTAGCTTTGTGTTTGGAAAGCAACACTTGGACCACTAGTGGCGTTATTCACCAGGATTGCGGATGTGTGCATGAGCGGGGGTGGTCCGTTAGTGGTCTGCACCGTTAACGGTGGTGTTACGAGTGTCGTTTGTTGTGACTCATTTGTGACGTGAACGAGTGGCGGTATTAGACTGTGACCAGTGTTACTTGGTCTGCCAGTGTTGGGAAAAACAATGGTAGAGGAGGCGGAGTAAATGAATTGGTTCCTCCGATGTTGGGGAACAACGGCGGGGATGTGTTTTTTAGATTAGGTATTGGTATATGGTTCTGGAGCGTAACAAAAGGCGGAGCCGCTATGAAAGAAGGTGACGGGCCATCGGATGATGATATATCAGAAGTCATGCCAACCGTCTGAGTTGGTGGTGTTAGCGGGGTGGTGGCCGTCTCCAATGAGGTCATCGGTCGTATCGGACTTTGTAGTGTTTCTGACGGCTCGCTGGCGGCTTCGTTCATCATTTGTTACTAAGCTAGAAAGGAAACAATGGGTTGGCGTATCTGCTGTCACACAATCGGATGCCACCAAATGATGCGACCTAGGTTCCGACCATCTGGATGGTGAAGGTTGAGTTCGTCGGAGTAGAACCTGAGAGGTCACAGAGAGAGAAAGTCGTTATCCGTTCTCCGGGAGGAGGTCCCGGGAAAACGCTCCGACGGTCAAGTTAGTAGTGTAGTGGAGAGTGAAGGTTGAGAATCGGTAGAGATAGTTTACCCTTCAAGGCGGAGTGGTGATCCTTTTATACTAAGGATCCTCCTCGGTCCGTACGAGGGACAAGGACTGTAGTTCCGACTATATCGATTATCCTTATTGGTAAGTCGTGTTCCTCGTTGTGTCAGCTCCAACGATTGGACCAGGCGATAATGCTCTTGATGTGTTCCTTGTCGCCTAGATCCGTTATCCTTGTCCTGTAGTGGAAGGTGCCCCTTAGCGAAGCTGGGCTTTCCACGTGGTCGCCCCGTGCTGGGGGGCGCCCGGTAGGTAGGAATCCGATGGGGCGGCCGTGTTGGTCTTGATCGGGCCTCGCTGGAGGTCCCTAACTGGGGAGTACTTTTATTCTTGGCCCGCGCTGAGGGGCATGTCATCAACTATAATGAAGGTGTTTATAGAATTGTCACAAGGTCACAAATAAATGGAACTGGAGGAAATACACAAATTGTTAATTATTTTCAACATATGTGTACTTGTGATAAGCGGCAAACAGAGAGATTTCCATGTTCACATGCACTTGTAGTTTGTCAGAATAGAGGGGATAATCCTCTTTCCATTTTGAATAATGTGTACACTAGTATGACATAAAAAAACAATACAATTTAGTGTTTGTACCACTTCCTTATGCTGATTATTGGTTGGATTCAAACTAGACGATTGAAGCAGATTAGTCAAAACTTTATGTTCATTGAGGACGAAGGCGTGTAAACTGAATTCGTAATGAGATGGACATTCTTCATCTTGATGAACCTCATAGATGTACAATATGCCACCAGCCAGGTCGTAATAGAAGAAATTGTTCAAATTATCCACCAAGATTCAATGAGTAGTAAACTCTATTTTTGTTTTATTACGTAGTAATTTCATGTTTAGTTGATGTAAGATCCAAAAAATACCGAGTAAAATTTTCATTTTTAAACAAATCAAACCACTCATTCATGAACTCATTAACTCAACGACAATCAGAATAAAAGCATTCTCAAATCATCAGAGCAATTCGTAAACATTCAGTGCGGAATAAATCTCTAGGGGATGCAGTGCGATCAAGTCGGGCCCTTTCCTTGAAACCAGAAGTACCTGAAAACATTTAAAACAGAAACCATAAGCACAAAGCTTAGTGAGTTCCCCAAAATACCACATACAACATGTATACAAATATAACAGCACGTGGCTGTTTCGGGTCCGTATCAACCCTGAGTCCATAATGACTCTATGTAACAGCTTGTAGATGTGTCAGGTCCGTATCAACCCATGCGTCCGTATCAACCTCGAGTCTATAATGAATCTATATAGCAGCTTGTAGCAATGTCGGGTGAATCAACCCCAGTATCCATTTCACCCCACATACATAAGCATACAGACATATAAGCATGAGTCACAAAGACAACAAGCACATACAGGCATATCAACAAGTGTCACAAAGACAACCATCATCCTACAAACATAATATAGTGGTCCGACATTCGTGCCTTCGACCCACGAGTACAGTGAACAAACTCACCTCAATCAGTATTCGAGTAAAACATACTCGAGCTGTTGCTATCAAAAGCTCCTCACTCTAGACATAACCAAAACAACCCCAATTAACAATTAAGGAAATTTTCCAACTTAACAGGTCCAAAAATAACATGGCTAACCCTTATTCGGGCAAAAGAGCATTTTTCCCCTTCCAAGTCTTAAACCCTAACAGTTGACCAAAAGTCAACTGGTCAAAAATTCAATAGTCAACCTTCTGTTGACCTACATGTTGCGTACTCTTAACTTTACGTTGGACATAGAGCATTAGCCTGAAGACGAGTGAAGACTAGGTTATGATGGGCGTAGCCCAGATTATGCCCCGCATACTGCCTCTTTTTCCAATCTTCATATTAAGCACTTAATGCTCAAAGGCTAACCATCTAATACTCAAATTAGGTTCCTAATAGCTCTATAATGGATAAAGTTTCCAACTTTAACCATTAGGATGTCCCAAACAACCAAGATCTAGTCTTTAAGCCTCAAAGGGACCAAAAACACATCTTTCTCATCTTAATCCATTAAGTCCAAGTCTCCATCCTTTAGATCTAAATCATTATGATGTTTAGATAGATAAAGTTTCCAAATTTATACATAACAAGGTCACAAAACTTTCAAGATCTAAACTTTATGCACTAAAGTGACCAAAAAGTGACAAATATGAAAATTAACAAGATCTATTACACTAATGAGCAAGTTTGAAGCTTTTTACTCACAATGGTCCAAAATTTATGTAATCTTGGTGGATCTATACTTGAGTCCTTCTTATTTAAACTTTCCTACCACCTTGTTCTTCAAGATTCCACCTTCAAATGGAGAAATAAGCTCATAAATGCTGAAAAGGCTCAAAACAAGACTGGGGATGCTAGGGTTACAAGTTAGAGGCTCAAGAGGGTGGAGGCTGATGATAGGAAGGGCCCCCAAGGGGTTAGAAACCTTAAATAAGGCTCACAACCCCAAAATTAGGGTTTTTACACCACGGAATTATGCCCTGCATAACTTTGAGTACACCTTGTGTACTCTACTAATAACACGTCCCACCCTCAGCATGTATGCCCTACGTGCTCCCTTGTGTACGTCTTGCATACTACTAGACTCCCTTTGCCTATTTAAAATAGACATAACTTCTTTGTTTCATCTCCGTTTTCAATGATCTTTATATCGATAGAAAGGTATCGACGATCCACACAACTCTCTCTAGTTACTTATGACTAAAAATATCTCAAACTAAAATCCTTAATTTATGCAAGAAGCCCAAAACATTAACTTTACCATTTTACCCCTCACCTTTCAACGAAAAATCCAAGGTTTAAATCACTTATCCAACACCATCAACATTCAAGAGAGTTTACACTGCATTTGCTTAAAACCCAAGGCCTTTGTGTGGTCGAATTACAGTCTACAAACCCCGAATTAAGAAATGTCCCAAAACAGGATGTTACAACTCTCTCCCACTTAAATTAGATTTCGTCCTCAAAATCATTCCTTACTACTTCCTCTGCCACCCTAGTCAATCCTGCCCGAACTTCCTATACTCAATTTAAGACTAAAGATTTGTCCCATATAGAAGACCGCCTTGCATCGCTGCCATCCAAACCCCATCTTAGCATAAATCACTTATCCCTCCGAAAGAATGAACCTTAACACTCTTCCCTCAGCCAATGAAAGAAACCCAACTGTTCTACCTTAGAACTAAAACAACTACTTTACTCTTCCCAACTGGAAGACCTCAAATTACATCGACAACCACTCAAAGCACGAAACTTCTCAAAAACTGGAACCCATCAATTATTCCCTAAGACTATTGATCATTCATTCGTTGTAACCGCCCCTAGTCCCTGACTAGGAACACCACTCAACCATGTAGAATGCATACTCAAAATAGATCGATCATGAATTTCACCCAATCCGGAGATTGTGCCCAACAAACTTAAATGCACACTTGACTTCGTGACAAGTTATCACCAACCCGCAGATTCCACGAGTATAATGATGGTCAATCTAAGAATATAATGTTGCATCCAAATCCCTCATCAGCTCAGGTGTACCTCCACTTGACAAAACACTCGAGATATTTACAACGAACTCCATGAATCGAGATTTAAGAACTGATACCCAACATTTGCAAACAAGCTCCTAATAGACGGATCGCAAGTAAACGAGGTTCATAATGCAAAATTTTAACAAGAGACTTCTAATCACAATTAATACTCTCAACAAAACTTTTTACTGTCCCCATGATCCAAAATGGCTAGTCACTGAGTCATTCCACTCTTAATCAATGCACTAACACCCGAACATGCCAATAAGACTAACGATCTGAGACCTAATATTCTCAATCACATGACTACCGGGTCTCACCCATATGTATCATACAGCCACTCTTTCACGATACATTGTGACACCTTCTGACCAATACAAAAGATAGGCTCACGGTACTACGCTGATCTTGTTGTCATTCCATCATTAACTCGAAGAATCATGACCAGCACCACAGGGGCCTAAAGAAACACAATCATCAACCCACCAACTTTCAGGAACCAAATCAACATCTCTCTCAACATTAACCAAACACGCCGTGAGTCATACCCTTTTATAATGTAACGCTCGGTTTCGAATCTCTTCATTATTCGGGACCGTAGCCCGATCATCAGTTATCATAAGGCTTAGGGCCTTGGGGAAGAAAGGTTTAGACCCATTTGGATGTGGGTGATGTTGGTTATGTGATGAAAAGGGTTCGGTTTGTACTTTAGATCCCAAGGGTATTGGTAAAGGCATTGGTTCGGGCCTTTTATGAATTTTGGATTTTAGTTCGGTTGGTTTTCAGGCTAAATAAAGTTGATAGAAGTGGGCTTCTCGTTACCTTTCCTTGGATATAAAGAACGTCGAAAACAGATAAGGGATGCAGAAATAATGACCATTTGAAGTTAGAGGGGTTTTGGGCCGAACCGGGTACGCCGATGGGAACGCATGGCGTTCAAGGAAAATTGGTCGCAGGCCAAGGTAGGAACGATGGGCGTTCCTCAAGGGAACGCTAGGCGTTCGCTGGGCAGATTCAAAACTCGTTTTTTAGGGTTTGGCCCATTTATAAGCATCATTATGGACCCAAACCTCTTCCATTCTTCAGCGTCCATTCTCTCTAACCCTAAGAACGAAACCCTAGCCCTCATTTCTCTATTTCTTCAGCTTCATGGTGATTTTTTTTGTGTTTTGGTGCTTGAAAAGAAAGAAGGAA